TTTAGGGTTTAGGGTTTAGTGTTTAGTGTTTAGGGTTTAGGGTTTAGGGTGCAGGGTACGTGATCCATGTTTTGCCGGGTTTCGGTCACCAGCTTCACACGGTGTGCAGGGATTTCCGAGAAAATGGACGTACCCTTCTTGGTGGTTCCTACAACAGGGATTGTAATCATTTTTTGAGGCGTTCCCTACTTTGGAAATTACCAATCTGAACCCCAAACCCTAAATCGTCCAAATCTCCTCGAAAACCTAACACTAAACCCAACACTGACCCTAAACCCTAACCCCTAACCCCAAACCCCAAACCCTGAACCCTAAACCCTAAACCCTGAACCCTAAACCCTAAACCCTAAACCCTAAACCCTAAACCCAAGGCCAGCAGGGACTTTGCACACCAGGGTTCAGGGCCACACATCCGCCGGCTACCGCCCCAGAATGCACGCCCCCAGGTAGAGTGTAAACAGGGGCCTTAATAAATAGGTTATAATTGGAGTCTAAGGTTGAGGGTTTAAGGTTTAGGGTTTAGGGCTGGGGGTTTAGGGTTTAGGGTTTAGGGTTTAGGGTTTAGGGTTTAGGGTTTAGGATTTACGGTTCAGGGTTTAGGGTTTAGGGTTTAGGGTTTAGGGTTCAGGGTTTAGGGTTTAGGGTTTAGGGTTTAGGGTTCAGGGTTTAGGGTTTAGGGTGAGAATAGGGTTTTGGGGGCTGTTGTAGTAGAAGCATATAGGGGCCCTAAGGGCATACTCTTCATACTTACTCCGAGCCCTAGAGTATTCGGGATTAGGGTCTAGGGGTCAAGGATTTCAACTCTCATCTAACGACAACCCTAGACCCCACACCCTACACCCTACACCCTACACCCTACACCCTAAACCCTGAACCCTAAACCCTAAACCCTAAACCCTAAACCCGAAACCCTAAACCCTAAACCCTAAACCCCGAAACCGAACCACCAGAAGACAAGTCTCCCCCCAGAAAGTGATATGAACCACGGCCTCCTGCGTCTGGGCGACCCTGTGCGAGAGAAAGGGTTTAGGGTTTCGGGTTTAGGGTTTAGGGTTTAGGGTTTAGGGTTTAGGGTTTAGGGCTTGGGGTTTGGGGTTTGGGGTTTGGGGGTTGGGGTTTAGGGTTTGGGGTTTGGGGTTTGGGGTTTGTTTGGAGGCGACTGTCACTAGAACGCCTTGACGCGATCCGATATCCCTTTGCAAGGCTGTTCCTGCAAGGTGAAAAACATCCTAACACTGTGTGCTTGGGGGGGCCGGACGCCCTGCACACACCTCCGGTGTCGAGGGTTTAGGGTTTAGGGTTTAGGGTTTAGGGTTTAGGGTTTAGGGTTTAGGGTTTAGGGTTTAGGGTTTAGGGTTTAGGGTTTAGGGTTTAGGGTTTAGGGTTTAAGGTCTACGGATTAGGGGTTAGGGAAAACCCCAGAAAAGTTTGGCCTGCGGATTGAAAGCTCAATGCCTGAGGGCGCTCAGTGTCCAGGTATCCTCAACTCGAAACCCAGTTTTGAGAGCTGCGGTGTCCTAGAGTCATGGGTTTCAATCCTGACCCAGACATGCGCCAACCTGCATGATAGGGCTCTTAAGGGAGGAGTGCTCATGCAGGGAAGGTACCTAGGGAAAGCTGAGGGAGCCTTAGGGAGTAGTGGGGAGTATAAGGGAACCTTGGGTTACATACCCCCTTGAAATCCCCTCCCTTAAGTACTCCATAACTGCAAGATTCGATCTCCAAAAGCTACGGCACCCACCCAAAACCCTAAGCCCGAGTCGCCCTAAACCCCCAAGCGCCTTTGCATGCGCTTGCGGCAGCAGCAGCTGCAACAACGCTGGTACCTGGAGGATGTTCGTGCTTAGGGAGGTACAGGGCAGCTCTAGCCCCTCCGAACCTACTATTTGCTCAAGAACCTCTCCCCACCCCCCCCCCAAACACAACACAATGACTCCGCATACGGTCCTACATTCCCAGACTCCTACTTCTGAGGGCGGCGCAGATTGCCCTTACAAGGAAGAATATGCATCCTGAAAAGCAAACAAAACGGCGCAGGGTGTTGCAGGGTGTTGGCTTGTGTGTTACCATCCAGCTTGATGCCTCAAAGAGGCACGATTCCGAGCCCTCAACCCCTTTGGGAATAGGGACTAGAGCCCCAAGCCCCAAAAAACAGGATGTAGTTTTGAGTTGAGGGTTTGGGGTTTATAGCGTTTAGCGTTTAGGGTTCAGGGTTCCGGGCTTTAGGGCTCCCGAAGAACATCGAAGCCCGTTGGATCGCGCAGTACACACCTATGTAGATCATGTTTGGCCCGAGTCCTAGGATATCATCACATTCCTGGCCACGTAGTTCGTAGTCCCTAGAAGGGGCCTCGAACAACATATTGTCGACTAACATTCTCGGGATGAATCTCATCCAACTGGCTCTCAAACCCTAAACCCTAAACCCTAAACCCTAACCCGAAACCCTAAACCCTAAACCCCAAACCCTACAACCCCAGAGCCAGGAACTCTGAGCCCTAAGCCCTAAACCCTAAACCCTAAACCCTAAACCCTAAGCCCTAAACTGCACAACCACCCATCCCTGCAGCCCGGCAACCATGGCGTCAAGCCAGGGCCAAAGAGAACCAGGACCGCGGGAAGCACCTGGGTTTTCGGGTTTAGGGTTTAGGGTTTAGGGCTTAGGGTTTAGGGTTTAGGGCTTAGGGCTTAGGGTTTAGGGTTTAGGGTTTAGGGTTCAGGGTTCAGGGTTTAGGGTTTAGCTTGGGTTTTGCGTCTGGTCTTGGGGTCTGGGGCTTTGGACTCAAGAAGTCTTAGGCTCTAGGGGGGCTCAAAGTGCCCCAGGGTTTAGGGTTTAGAGTTTAGGGCTTGGGGTCCGAAAGCCCTAAAGCCCTAAACCCTACACCCTAAACCCTAAACCCTAAACCCTTGTAGGGAGCCGGGGCTTGGGGTCCTAAGCCCCTAAAGTCCTAAACCCTAAATCCTAAACCCTAAACCCCAAACCCTAAACCCCAAACCCTAAACCCTAAAGCCCTAAACCCTAAAGCCCTAAACCCTAAACCCTAAACCCTTGTAGGGAGCCGGCCACCAGTGACGCGATGCAGGAGAGCAGGCTGACAGCAATAACCACCTCAGCACACTTGGAGGGTTTGGGGTTTGGGGTTTAGGGTTTGGGGTTTAGGGTTTAGGGTTTAGGGTTTAGGGTTTAGGGTTTAGGGTTTAGGGTTTAGGGTTTAGGGTTTAGGGTTTAGGGTTTGGGGTTGAGGGGTTAGGGTTTAGGGTTTAGGGTGTGAAGACAAGAGCCCACCCCACACCCCAGATGCCCGAAAGACCCCCTAAACCCCCTAAAACCCTACTGAGTCCTTGAACCTCTCAGCATCTCAAGGCCCCAAACCCCCCTAAACACCGAAACCCTAAACCCTCAGCCCTCACCCCTGAACCCCTAAACCCTAAACCCCTCAACCCTAAACCCTAAACCCTAAACCCTAAACCCTAAACCCTAAACCCTAAACCCTAAACCCTAAACCCTAAACCCTAAACCCTAAACCCTAAACCCCAACCATAGAGGTCGCTCAACCAGGGCCCAGGCTGAGCCAAGCTTCGTGAACACCTTCGGCTGGCAATCCCAGCGTTTCCCTACTTTGGAGTCGTCCCTAGGGTTTAGGGTTTAGGGTTTTGGGCTTTGGGCTTTGGGTTTAGGGTTTAGGGATAAGTAGCCATGATAGGAACCCTGAACCAAAAAAAGTATTGAAGTACAGTACTCCAAAACCCAGGTTTCGGGTTGGGAGATCTTGGGGTGTGGGGTTGGTTCAGGGTTTAGGGTTTCGGGAGGGCTTAGGGATTTGGGGTTTTCAGGGTTTGGGTTTATGGAGTTTCGGGCTTAGGCTTCGGGGCATGGAAAGGGGGGGGGGGGGGGGGGGGGCTTAGGGTTTAGGGTTTAGGGTTTAAGGTTTAGGGTTTAAGGTTTAGGGTACTTCCGGCCTGCATCGTGGCGCTGAGCAGGAAGGCGCTGGCACCTGGGCAACGCAAGAGTCAAGAGCGACCACCATCCCGTACGAGGGATCATTGTTTACGGTTTCGGGTCTACTCGGAGCACCCTAAACCCTAAACCCTAAACCCTAAACCCTAAACCCTAAACCCTAAACCCAGGCGCTCCAGGCCTTGGTGTGATATGGGCCTAAGAAGTTGAAGAGTTCAGGGGGAGTCCGCCTCGGCAAAGAGCACCCTCCACTTCTCTGTGAAAGGGATATGAGTGTCGACGATACTAGGGCTTAGGGTTTAGGGTTTAGGGTTAAGGTTCAGGGTTTAGGGTTTAGGGTTGAGGGTTGAGGCTTGAGGGTTTAGGGTTTGCCTTATTTTCGGAAGGTCCCATATGGGTAGTTCTCCAAAGTGGGGTCCCTCTTGGGGGTTCTTTTTATAAGGTGCCGGTCGATATATAGGACCCCAAAACTTCCAATTTAGAGAACTACCCATGTGCTTCACAAGCCCTGATTTCAGAGGGGCCGTCTGAGGGTGGAGCGAGTGTGGGTCTTCAGGGGCTCGGGGAGGAGTTTTGGTATGTTAGGGGTGTTGGGTTTAGGGCAGCCCTAAGCCTAGACCCCGAACCAACCCTAAGCCCAAAGCCCTGAGCCCTGGTCCAAGCACTGCGCCCACCGTGGACAAGGTGGAGGACAGGGTGGAGAGACCGATGCGCATCAGAGCTTTCCGCACCCGCACCTGGGCAGGCCGTTAGTTTGGGATCGAGGGTTTAGGGTTTGGGGTTCAGGCCACCCAGGTTACCTAGGACACAGGACACAGGGTACCTAGGTACCTAGGGTACCTAGTATACCTAAGTTACCCAGGGTACCTAGGGTACCGAGCTAGCTAGCACGAAGCAACTGTGTCACCTCTCCAAGACGAGCTCAAAAACCATAAAGTCAAAAGCCTTCGCATTGCCAGCCTCAAAGGCGCCTGGGAACTTCGTCGGCGTATTTAATGGGGCAAGGCCGAAACCCTAAACCCTAAACCCGAAACCCTAAACCCTAAACCATGCGCAGCCTGGAGGGAGTGGTTTTTCTGCCTTTCCCATCACGCTGACAGACCGAAGAGCGACAACTCAAAAAGGAGGCGTTGCTCAGCCCATTTCGAAGTCGTACCTCCCGCTGGCCTGATCCCTGCATGTAGCGAAAAAGCCTCAGCGGGTTCTTAGAGATGTGTTAATGCTAGAACTGTTTAGCAGATTCCTGTGGGCTTTAGGGTTTAGGGTTTAGGGTTTAGGGTTTAGAGTTTAGGGTTTAGGGTTTAGGGTTTGGGAGTGTCGGGTTAGTTTATACAGCTCCTTTACCATCATATCGACAAAAGAAGATCGAGCTTTACAACGGTCTCCTCGTGCGGTCTGGCCACCATGAGGCATTTTCGCCCGACCGGAAACCACCCCGGATCTGTTGACGTGAGACTGTAAACATCGCGAAGACAGGCGAGGGCCCATGGAAGAAATCCACTCTTGGATCGTCAACGGGTCCTGTGCCCCCGGGTAGAGAAGCGGCGGCAGCCCCAATGACATGGAGGCCCATGTGCTCCGCATGCTGCGAACCATGGTCATGGCCACAAAGGAACAGGTCAACATGCCAGGCTACCATTAGGTCGAGGAAGGGCTGCATGTGTGGTGCGGAACCACGCCATCCTGCTGATATGACAGGGTGGTGCCCTAAGACGACAATCCAGTGGGCTTGTTGACACTCTGGTTTGGAGACCTCCCGTTCGAACCAGGCCTTGTTAGCCCTCTAACCATTTTAGGGTTTAGGGTTTAGGGTTTAGGGTTTAGGGTTTAGGGTTTAGGGTTTAGGGTTTAGGGTTTAGGGTTTAGGGTTTAGGGTTTAGGGTTTAGGGTTTATAAAGGGGTACCCCTTTTGGGGCTGGTTACGTTATCAGGGAAGCTTGAACCAAAACAAGGGTAAAGGGTTACCACTGGGCTGCCAAGAAGCTTGCTGCTTGCGGAAATAAGGGAAGATGTCGTTGCCCTTCTCACTGTGTTGTGACATGCCTGTGGCTTGCTCAGTGTCGAGCGCGAGCATGCAGATGCCGATGCCCTTGTGCTCCACGACCTCGCTGTACCAGTTCGCTGGCATGTACCACCTGCCCGCTTCTTCGGACAGATAGCCATGCCGGTACGTGTACGCCACCTGGGCGGGGGCGACGTTGTAGTAGTCGTGGTTCCCGAGGACCGCATACCACTTGAGCCCATAGCCAAACCTTAGCTGACTTCTGAACCCTTCCTAAAAGCTTAACTTTTAGGCTCCTTATTGTAGTTTCTACAACAACCCAAACAGTCAAAGTCCTAAGAGCCAGCCAAAAAGAAGCCGAGAAACTGAAACACGTCCTCAAGGATGCCACGCCACACCACATCCTCTGTCCCTGAAACCCCCATTGGGTACCTTAGCTTTGGAGTAGACCCTGGAAAAACTACATACTTTTGAGGTGTCAGTAGCTATAATAGGAACCCAGAACCAAAAAGAAAGTATTAAAATATAGTACTCCAAAACCCAGGTACGCGTTGTCGCCCAAAAGAGTCACGAAGCGAAGGTCAATCTCGGGAGACTGGGCCAGAAGCTTCATTGCAAGAGCACTTTGCAGAAAATGCCTTGACATGGAGGGAATGAAGTGGTGAACATTGACGCCGAAATCTCCAAGGGCAAAGAAGGAGAAGGAGTCACCAGCCATGGCTTGCGACCACCGCTCCCAAGTGGGCCTCTACTCTGTTCTTGGCAGCCCCGGAACCATACTATCATATGGGTACCCTTTCTTGGGTACGTTTCTTTATCACGGAACCCTTGCACCAAAACAAGGGAAACGAGTACGAGTACCACCAAGCATTGCGAAGGCCCCAGCAAAAACAACAAGAAGCCCAGGAAAGGGAGATTTACACAGTGATTACGGGCCGGTGGAGGTCGTAGAAGCGACACACCCCCCCCCCCCCCCCCCCACAAAAAAAAAAGACACCGGCCGCACAGGCCTAAACCCAAAACTCGTGAAAGGGATTTGGGTTTAGGGTTTGGGGTTCAGAGTGCAGGCCACGCTGGGACATGCAATTGTTTTGAGATTTCTAGGTTGCAGTTTAGGGTTTAGGGCTAAGGGTTTAGGGTTTAGGGCTTAGGGCGTAGGGTTTCGGGGTTAGGGTTTCGGGATTAAACTAGGGTTTAGGGTTTAGGGTCTAGGGTTTAGGGCAGCGGAGATAGAGAGCAACTATATTCCCCTCCTCTCTTCGATCCCGCTCACTGTGCCCCCCACCCCAAAACCTTAAACCCTGAGCCCCCTCAACCCTAAGCCCCAAGAACCCAAATCCTGGATGCCCTCAACCCCAACCCCTGCACCCTAAACCCCAAACCCAACACCCTAAACCCCAAACCCTAAACGCGAAACCTAAACGCCAAACCCTAAACCCCAAACCCTAAACCCCAAACCCCAAACCCTAAACCCTAAACTCTACCCAAAACCCTAAACCCCAAACCCTAAACCCTAAACCCCAAACCCTCATCCCTAAACCCCAAACCCCAAACCTTAAAGCCCCCAGTCCCGCAAGGCCCTCAGCTCAACTCTAAGGTTCAGCGGGCTCACAGCAGCGAGTTTAGGGTTTAGGGTTTGGGGTTTAGGGTTTAGGGTTTAGGGTTTAGGGTTTAGGGTTTAGAGTTTAGGGTTTAGGGTTTAGGGTTTAGGGTTTAGGGTTTAGGGTTTAGGGTTTAGGGTTGGGGAATTGGGGCTTAAGGTGTAGTTGGGGTTTAGGGTTTAGGGTGCAGGGTCTAGGGGTGTAGGATTCTCTGGGCCATAGTCTCGTGCGTCTTATAATTACCCGAAACCCTAAACCCCAAAACCCTAAACCCAAAACCCTAAACCCCAAACCCAAAACCCTAAACCCCAAACCCTGAACCCTAAACCTGAAACACCTCTGCCAGCTTTCTGGCCAGGCACTGCGCGCACAGCCTGTCCATCCAATTCTGGCTCCTGCAATCGGAACCGGCCCAAGGTTTAGGGTTTAGGGTTTAGGGTTTAGGGTTTAGGGTTTAGGGTTTAGGGTTTAGGGTTTAGGGTTTAGGGTTTAGGGTTTAGGGTTTAGGGTTTAGGGTTTAGGGTTTAGGGTTTGGGGTGCAGGGTTTGGAGTTTCGGATTTCACTCGCAATGAATGCCCCTCCCTGTGCAGGGTTTAGGGATTCTAGGCCGAATGGCTTCAGGGTTTAGGGTTAAGGGCTTAGGGTAAAGGGTTACGGCTTAAACCTTCGCCTCCACCCCTACACCCTTCACACCACTCCCGTTTAGGCTGCAAGCCCTCCGAGCCCTGAAAGCCCCGCTTCTCTTCCCCAGGTCCTCGGGAGGCGAGGCCCCACCCTGCCAGCAAGAGTTTAGGGTTTAGGGTCCACTAGACAATGGCCGCCAGGTTCTGAATCGGGGGTTGGGGTTTAGGGTTTAGGGTTTGGGGTTTAGGGTTTAAGGCTTAGGGTCACGAAACCCAAAACCCGAAACCCGACTTCTGCGGCCGTGCGCGAGGAGAAAATCGCTGGTGCCCTGTGCCTGGTCGCCCAGCGCGGCCAGCGCTGGAGGCCTGAACTTCCAGGTTGTAGGGTGTAGGGTTTAGGGTTTAGGGTTTAGGGTTTAGGGTTTAGGGTTTAGGGTTTACGGTTTAGACAACCTACCCTGACCCCTAATATTAAATGCTCCCACTTATGGTTATAGTATATGGGGGGAGGGGTATGTAATATTCGGGGGTAGGGTGGGTTCCAATAGTAGGGGGATGGGATAACTCAGGGTTTGCAGGATTTGAAGGGCTTATAGGCTCATTGGTAGGGATTATTTAGGGTTTAGGGTTTAGGGCTTAGGGTTTAGGGTTGAGGGTTTAGGGGTCTTACAGTTGCGAGAGTTTGTAGTGTTTAGAATTCATATGGGGTACAGAGGCATGGAGTCCGATGAAGATATCACGGTGCTGTTTGCTACAGACCTCAACCCTCAACCCTCAACCCTCAACCCTCAACCCTCAACCCTCAACCCTCAACCCTCAACCCTCAACCCTCAGCGCCAAAGCCTCAACCCTAAACCCTAAACCCTAAACCCTTGTAGCCGGAGCGGCTCGCATGCCGATAAATGGTAGGCTACGAAGAGACCTAAACTAAGTCGCCATGATACTGGGGGTTTAGGGTTTAGGGTTTAGGGATTAGGGTTTGGCGTTTAGGGTTTGCGATTTGCAGTTTAGGGTTTGGGGTTTAAGGGTTCAGGGTTTCGGGTTCAGGGTTAGGCCCAGAACCAAAAGCCCCGAAAAAAACCCTACAGCTCTACACCCCCAGCCCCTATCAAGCCTCAGTCCCTAGAAGCCCTTTCAGCCCTTGTGGAAACAAAAGCCGAACCCTGAAGTAAACCTTGACTGTGGGTTAGCCTTTAAACCCTTTGACAAAATGCCCATATTACTATGCAGGCCCCTCATAAACCGAATAATCCTGAACCCTAAACCCTAAACCCTAAACCCTAAATATCCGAAAAGCCAAGCTAGCTGCAAGTCCCAAGCCCGGGAGCTGGGCAGCCGGGCACGTCCCCGGCCTCCGGCGCCAAAACGCCTTCGCCCTCCGCCTCGCGGGAGCGGGTTTAGGGTTTACGGTTTAGGGTTTAGGGTTTAAGGTTTAGGGTTTCGGGTTTCGGGTTTAGGGTTTCGGGTTTAGGGGCTTGGGGCTTGGGGCTTTGGGTTTGGTGGACTTAGGACGTAGGATCTGGAGTCTAGGCTCGAGGGCTTGGACCTTTTAACCCTACACCCTCTCTCGTAATGCCCTCTATACGATCGCTTTCCTAAAATATCTCTTGGGGGTCCTTACTACAAGGCCCACTAAACCCTAAACACTAAACCCTGCACCCTAAACTCTAAGGCATTCAGGATACCCAAAACTTGGCTGCACTCAGGAGGGTAGCTATAAATCAAACTTTTAGCTGCCTTAATAAGAAACCCAAGAAACCCAAAAAAAGGTAAGGATCTAAAGTTACAGTAAAGTACAACAAAGAAAAGAAGGCCATGATTTTGAGAACTGACCATCTGCGCACCCGGTGGCCTTGCTGTTCTGTGCGGCCTCCGATGGGGAGGTTTTGGGCTTGGGGTTTAGGGTTTCGGGCTTAGGGTTTAGGGTTTAGGGTTTGGGATCATCAGACCAGATGGTAAGGGCCTGGCGGGGGCCTGCAGAGATCTCCTGGCTCCCTATACCTCCAGATTCTTAAAGTCGGTGCCACAATTTGCATACCAGCCTCACAGAGGACTGTCAGATAGATGCCCTTTCCAGAGTCGAGGTGCGCGCTCCCCCCAACCCTGCCCCCACCCCCCCCCCCACCCCCCCCCCTACCCCCCCCCCCTACCCCCCCCCGACCCCCCCCACCCGCCCCCACCCACCCCCCCCCCCACCCCCCCCACCCCCCCCCCACCCCCCCCCCCCCACCCCCCCCCCTACCCCCCCCCCCCCCAAACGAACGCGTTTAAACCTTTCAACTATGCTCCAGCCGGCGGCTTGAGCCGGAGGCTCTTAATTTAGGGTTTAGGGTTTGGGGGGGGGGGGGGAGGGGGAGGTTAGATGGTTTGGGAATTGGGTCTGAGGGTTTTGAGAGGGACAACACCTGGGGTATAGGGGGGCTGTGGTTTAGATTGAAAAAGTGGGGCGTAGGGTGTAGGGGGTATGGGGTTTAGGGTTTAGGGGTGTAGTGCTTTTGGGGGAAAAGGAGCTCAGAGCTCTACCCCTACTGGGTACAGGGTTTCGGGTTTAGGGTTTAGGGTTTAGGGTTTAGGGTTTAGGGTTTAGGGTTTAGGGTTTAGGGTTTAGGGTTTAGGGTTTAGGGTTTAGGGCCCAACACCTGCCTCGGGGTCGCTTCCATCGACCTGCTTCGGGGGGTTTGGGGCTTCAAAAAGCGTTTAGGGTTTAAGGTTTAGGTTTCAGGGTTTAGGGTGTAGGGGTTAGGGTTTAGGGTCTGGGATCTAAGGTTTAGGGTTTAAGGTTTGGGGTTTGGGGTGTAGGGGTTAGGGGTTTGGGGTTTAGGGTGTAGGGCGTAGAGGTTAGGGTTTAGGGTTTCGGGTTTAGGGTGCTTGCAAAGGGTTTGGGGCTTAAATGTGCTTAGGGCGGAGGGTGGTTAGGGTTTAGGGCCAGGTTTCGGTTTCGGTGTGAGGGCTTGTCCTGTTTTTAGGAGGAGTAGAAGCCTAGGGTGTAGGGCCTAGGGTCGAGGGCTTAGGGCTTCAGATTTAAACCCCTAAGCCCTTGCTACACGCAAAAACCAAGCCCCAAGGCCCAAACTCAAAGCCCTTGCACCCCCAGAAGCCCTAAACTCTCCAAGCCCTTCGACCCAAGCCCTAAACCTAAACCCTACCTAAATCCTAAAATCTGAACCCCGAAGCCCAACCCCTGGAAAAATCTAAGCTAAGCTTAAAACCCTAAAGCCCCAAGCCCCAACACAACGAACCCTACAGCCCCAAACCCGGAACCCCGAAACGCAAACCCTAAGCCCCAAAGCTATTATGTAAAACCCTAAAGGCCCTAAACCCTAAAGGCCCTAAACCCCAAACCCTGAACCCAAACCCTAAAACCCAAACCCCAAACCCTAAACCCTAAACCCCAAACCCCAAAAACCCTGTAGGCCAACAAGCCCTGGCTGGAGCCTCCCCGAAGATGTGGGCCACGTGAAGCCTTCGGTCACTGGGAGCTTGGGGAGGGGAGGAAGAGGGTTTAGGGTTTCGGGTTTAGGGTTTAGTGTTTAGTGTTTAGGGTTTAGGGTTTAGGGTTTAGGGTTTAGGGTTTAGGGTTTAGGGTTTAGGGTTTAGGGTTTAGGGTTTAGGGTTTAGGGTTTAGGGTTTAGGGTTTAGGGTTTAGGGTTTAGGGTTTAGGGTTTAGGGTTTAGGGTTTAGGGTTTAGGGTGGCCCTAAACCCTGAAGCCCCAAAACAAAACCCCTCTTCAGTTGCTGGCCCCAAATTTCGGAAACCGCCAATTTGGCATTCTGCTCACGCCCTCACCTCAATTTGTCAACCCCACCCTGAACCCTGAGGTTTAGGGTTTAGGGTTTAGGGCTTAGGGCTTAGGGTTTAGGGCTTAGGGCTTAGGGCTTAGGATCCTCGAGCCCGAAACTGAAACCCTCGACGACTTGAAGCTACCGAGCACGGTGGAGGCAGGGGCACGGGCGAATAGGTCACGGAGTAGCCGACGAAAACCACCAGAGAGATCACCTGCTGAGCCACGGGGGGGGGGGCAGCTTTGGCATCCGCATTTGCACGGTCTAGGGTTTGGGGTTTAGGGTTTCGGGTTTGGGGTTTGGGGTTTTGGGTTTAGCCGGAAACGTTTTAGGTTCACTAGACCTAGTGGCTTCGCCGCTCCACACTCGACTCAACCTTTCATAAGGGTTCAATTGAGAGTTTAGGGTCAAGGGTTGAGGGTTGAGGGTTTGGGATTTAGGGTTTAGGGTCCCTAAAACCCTAAACCGCAAACCCTGAACCCTGAAATCCCTGAAGCTCAGCGTTTAGGGCCTGGAGCACTATAGAGGCCTAAACAATTAGAACAGGGTTTTGGGGGTTCTTATAGCCTAGATACCCCAAACCCTCAACCCTAAACCTTGAACCCTAAACCCCAAGCCCTAAACCCTAAACCCTAAACCCTAAACCCCAAACTAATCATTCCGACCCCTATACTAGGGGCCAACGAAGCGAAAGCCCGGGCGCCTCGATGGGGCCCAGCGCCCAAGCCATGACGACGATCTGGGGAGCTTGCGGGGTTTAGGGTTTAGGGTTTGGGGTTTAGGGTGTAGGGTGTAGGGTGTAGGGTGTAGGGTGTAGGGCTTATAAGGCATTTTTTGAGAAGGGGGGTTTGGGATCAGGGGCTTTGGCTGTTGAGGGTCAAGGGGTTTTTAAGGGGATTCAGTAGGGTTTGAGGGCCTATTTGGGGAGAGAGGAGCGCACCCAGGGTGCAGGGGCTCAACCCAAAGCCTCAGATCGTAAGCTCAAAGCACTTCAACACTCCACCCACCCTAAAGCCTAAAGCCTAAAGCCGAAAGCCGAAAGCCTAAAGCCTAAAGCCTGAAGCCTGAAGCCTGAGGCCTGAAGCCTAAACCCTAGCCCTAAACCCTAAACCCTAAACCCCCGAAGCTCCAAACCTCCCAAAGGACATGCCAATTGTACCGTGGGAGGGCACTTAAAACCCTCTGAAGAGGTTTAGGGTTTAGGGTTTAGGGTTTAGGGTTTAGGGTTTAGGGTTTAGGGTTTAGGGTTTAGGGTTTAGGGTTTAGGGTTTAGGGTTTAGGGTTTAGGGTTTAGGGTTCCGGGCTTGGGTTTCGGGTTTCGGGTTTAGTGTTTAGGGTTCCGGGCTTGGGTTTCGGGTTTCGGGTTTAGTGTTTAGGGTTTAGGGTTTAGGGTTTAGGGTTTAGGGTTATAATTAAGGCTATTTGAGGATTGCTAAGCTTAATTTCGGTTGTTAAAGGCGGGGAACCTGGGGGGCTAGTATAGCAGGGGGGCGGGAAACTAGTAGGGAAACCCATGATAAACTCAATACCAGGAGTGAAACGAAGCTCAGGAGGAAGGGATTTTGAGGTCCACGAAGGCCCCAAACCCCCAAACCCCCAAACCTCCAAACCCCCAAACCCCCAAACCCCCAAACCCCAAACCCCAAACTCTTACCCCTAATCTAACCCCTAACCCCTTGGGGGGTTCCAAAGCCCCAGACCCTAGTTAAACCCTATCACACTCACGCTCCCCCCCCCCCCCCTAAACCCTAAACCCTAAACCCCGGGCCCCGCACCATGAAGAAGGCCAAGCCCGTCACGACGCCCAGGACGAGCAGCAGCACCAGAAGCGCCAGTGTAGGATCCTAGGGGTCTTCCTTACTGTTAGTGAGTCGGGAATGAAAGACTGGTAGCAAGAGCCACTAGAATAGTAGTTCATTTTTTCAGTCCCTACTAACCGACAGTAAGTTTCTGGGGGGTTTGAGGGGTTTGAGGGGTGTGAGGGGTTTGAGGGGTTTGAGGGGTTTGAGGGCTTTGAGGGGTTTGAGGGGTTTGAGGGGTTTGAGGGATTTTATCTTGGGTCTTTTTGGGGTTTGGGGTGGTTGGGGCTTAGGGCTGCACTCGGTTCTCTGCGGTGAGGGCTTTTACGAAGTTTGGGATTCAGGCTGATTAGGGTTTTCAGGCGTAAAGGCGCTTAGGGTTTGAGGTTTCATGCGTTGAAGCGCTCCTGAGAAACTAGGTACGAAGCCGGCCATAAACCCAAACCCTCAACCCCCTGCTTTTGGAGAGGCCTACGCCTGGACCCTAAACCTAAACCCTAATCACCCCAATCACCCCAATCACCCTAAACCCTAAACCCTAAACCCTAAACCCTAAACCCTAAACCCAAAGATGAACTCGGGGCCACGGCGTTCGTGAAGAGGAGCATGCATGCCCAACCACACCTTGGTTTTTCCAAGAAAGGAACCAACCTAGCAGGAGAGCCCAAAAAGCCTAAGCCCGAAACCCTTAAACCCTAAACCCTAAACCCTAAACCCTAAACCCAAGAAGGGCATCAAGTTTAGAGTTTAGGGTTCAGTGTTTTGAATGTGACTTAAGCTTTGCAGGGGCTCTTGCCATGAAGTCGGCCATAGTCCGTGATTCAGGGCCCACACTACAAAGGGTTCTTAAGTTGAAAACCCTAAACCCTAAACCCTAAACCCTAAACCCTAAACCCTAAACCCTAAACCCTAAACCCTAAACCCTAAACCCTAAACCCTAAACCCTAAACCCTAAACCCTAAACCCTAAACCCTAACTCAGAAGCGGCAATAGGAAGGTACACTTCTTGACTACGGGGTCTGCAGTTGACTCTGGCCACTTACTAGCTTTGGGGCTCGGCCTCTATAGCTTTGAGCTTAGGGTTTATGGGTTGGTTTGTAGGGTTCATAGGGCTTATAGGGTTGTATATGGCTTTATATGGTTTTAGAGGGATTTATAGGGTGTTACAGGGCTTTATGGGGATGAGAGGGCTTAATAGGCTTTAAAAGCGCTTAGTCGGCTTTAATGGGCTGCTGTTCGGAGCCTTGATGTCGCCGCTGCCCTCGACGAGTCTGTTCTCCACGAAGTTCTCTTTCTCCCTCAGCCGCATGCGGTGCGGACGTACAACTGTTCTGCACCTCTGAAGCCGTCATTGTCACGATCGATTGCTGATATCATCCTGCGGCTCCTTCCACCACTCAGTCATCTCTTCGTCCGTGAGCCCCAATGTGTTCTCACAGTGCTTCGAGAAGGCGCACTCCGTCATGGGAACCTCCCCGCTGTTGCGGCGCCCAAAGACCCTCTCAAATCTGGTGAAGTCAATGAGACTCTTGCGCTTCATCTCTGGTGGGCTGTCCCGATATGAAATGAGGACTTCTTTCCCGACCTCGGCTTCATCTTTCATGACCTCATCGAGTGCTGCTTTCTGGGTCTCGGTCAGGTCTTTGCGAGTCCTCCTTTGATGGACCGTGTTGTCGTAGGACCGCTTATACTCGCCAATAGGCTTACGGGGTCCATAGGGTCTGTCCATTAGGGTGTATAGGGTGTTTAGGGCCTATAGGGTTTATAAGTCTATAGGGTTTTGGGCCGAGGACTTCCGAAACCCTAAATCCTAAGCCCTAAACCCTAAACCCTAACCCTAAACCCCCCCCCCCCCCCCCCCCCCCCCAAAAAAAAAAAAAAAAGCCCCAAGATCCCGGCACTGCTGCCACGACGATGGTGACGATCGTGGAGTTGATGATGGCGAGCTCGGCCTTTCAGGGAGCTTGCTTCGGGCTTTCTGGAGGTAGGGTCTAGGGATTTCGGGCTTCGGATTTATGGTTTAGGGTATAGGCATAGGGTTTAGGGTTTAGGGTTTAGGGTTTAGGGTTTAGGGTTTAGGGTTTAGGGTTTAGGGTTTAGGGTTTAGGGTTTAGGGGCCGCATACTCCTAAGTTAGAGAGCAGGATCAAGGTCCAACTGCAGAGGGGGTTCTTACATTGAAATCTGAAAGATCCCAATCGAGAGGTGGTGGTTGAGGGGCTGAGGGCTTCAGGGGCGAGGGACTGGGGACAGACCTGACGAGCCCTCTACATCCTCAGGGTTTTGGGTTTAGGGTTTAGGGTTGTAGGGCTTTGTAAGGAAGATCTAGGGCCCAGGGCCGAGGGTTCAAGGCTTAGAGGGTTTAGGGTTTAGGATTTAAGGTCTAGGGTCTAGGGTTTCGGGTTTCGGGTTTAGGGTTTAGGGCGAATGACAGCAGGCCCGCCTCCGCCATCACCCACGCCTGCCCGAGAAGCTGTGCGCAGAGGTGCCCGGTCTGAATTATCGGTCTTGGGCCCCAAACCTACACCCTAAACCCTAGACCCTAAACCCGAACTAAACCCTACTCCCTAAACCCTAAACCCTACTCCCTAAACCCTAAACCCTAAAGCCTAAAGCCTAAACCCTAAACCCTAAACCCTAAACCCCAACCTCACAGCCCCCCAAGCATTGTGGTGAGGGCGGCGAAAGATTCAGGGCTCAGCGCTTCAGGTCTGACGTTTTGACCCTATATCTTGCGTACCTTTTTGTATGGGTTTGCACGTACGAAATAAGGGGTTTAGGGTTTAGGGTTTTGGGTTTTGGGTTTTGGGTTTTGGGTTTTGGGTTTTGGGTTTTGGCTTCGGGGCTTCGGGGCTTCGGGGCTTGTGGTCGAGGGATGGGGCTTTCAGGTAGGGTTTAGGGTTTAGGGTTTAGGGTTTAGGGTTTAGGGTTTAGGGTTTAGGGTTTAGGGTTTAGGGTTTAGGGTTTAGGGTTTAGGGTTTAGGGTTTAGGGTTTAGGGTTAGGGTTTAGGGTTTAGGGTTTAGGGTTTAGGGTCTAGGGTCTAGGGTCTAGGGTTTAGGGTTTAGGGTTTAGGGTTTAGGGTTTAGGGTTTAGGGTTTAGGGTTTAGGGTTTAGGGCTTATGGCCGAAGACTTGAAGATGCTCTTCGGATGGCACAAAAGAAGAAGCGGCATGCCCTACACCCTAAACCCTAAACCCTAAACCCTAAACCCTAAACCCCAAACCCCAAACCCCAAACCCAAGCGGCATGCCTGCGCCGTGTGCCACGCCCGATTCGCAGTGTCTGACGCCTTGCATCGGGACTGTCAGGGCTGAGGACTGAAGATGCAGAACGCAGGACTTAGCCTTATGGGCCTTAATGCTTTGAATTTAGGCCCTGAACCCGAGAATTCCTGTAACCCTAAACCCTAAACCCTAAGCCCTAAGCCCTGAACCTTTAAACGAAGCACTGAAAACCCTAAACCGTAAACCCGAAAGTTCCTATCCTCTGAGCCCACCGCTCACAAGGAGCTCCCAGAAAGGCGAGGTGGGGATTATGGTGTAGGGTTTAGGGTTTAGGGTTTAGGGTTTAGGGTTTAGGGTTTAGGGTTTAGGGTTTAGGGTTTAGGGTTTAGGGTTTAGGGTTTAGGGTTTAGGGTTTAGGGTTTAGGGTGCTAGAGATCTACCACCGACTGGTCTGCGTGACATAGATGCACACAGCCCAGCTCTTTCGAGCACCACAACACGAAGCCGAACGAAAACCCAGCTGCCATGAAGTCAAAAAACTCGACAAACAGAGAAGGCCGCAAACCCTACACCCCAAGCCCGCCAAACCCTAAACCTCTAAACCTAAACCCCAAACCCTAAACCCTAAACCCTCAACCCTACTCCCCTTGAACCCTTGAACCTACTTCCAAGCTGAAGAGGCACCACGAGGTTGCGCTCGTCGACGAAGCTATCCCACAACGCCTGGAGCTGTTGTTTAGGGACCTTTGAAATTTAGGGTTTAGGGTTTAGGGTTTAGGGTTTAGGGTTTAGGGTTTAGGGTTTAGGGTTTAGGGTTTAGGGTTTAGGGTTTAGGGTTTAGGGTTTAGGGTTTAGGGTTTAGGGTCTGGGCACCTTTAAACCATAAGAGCAGGAGCAGCGGCAGGCTCTAGAGCGATGTGTATAGATGCCAAGATCGATGTGCATATGTGAATAAATCGTAGATACCTCCACATCTATATATGTATATATATATATATATATACATGTACTCTTTGTTGCGTAGGCATCTGTACAGGTGGATGTGTTTTACATGGAAAGATGGATCGATACGTTGATAGACAATTTCATGTATTGAAAAGAGTCCGAATACGAGTGTGTGTGTGTGTGTGTGTGTGTGTGTGTGTGGGTGTGTGCGTGTGTGCGTGTGTGCGTGTGTGCGTGTGTGCGTGTGTGGGTGTGTGCGTGTGTGGGTGTGTGTGGGTGTGTGTGGGTGTGTGTGGGTGTGTGTGGGTGTGTGTGGGTGTGTGTGGGTGTGTGTGGGTGTGTGTGGGTGTGTGTGGGTGTGTGTGGGTGTGTGTGGGTGTGTGTGGGTGTGTGTGGGTGTGTGTGGGTGTGTGTGGGTGTGTGTGGGTGTGTGTGGGTGTGTGTGGGTGTGTGTGGGTGTGTGTGGGTGTGTGTGGGTGTGTGGGTGTGCCTCGGGCGCGTGCGCGGGCGCTTGCGCGTGCGCGGTGCGCGTGCGCTGCCGCGGCGCGTGCGCGTTCTCGCGTCGCGTTGCGCTTGCGGGTGCGGGTTGCTGTTGCGTGTGCGTGGTGCGTGTGGTGCGTGTGCGTGTTCGTGGTGCGTGTGCGTGTGCGTGTTGCGGTGCGTGTGCGTGTGCCTTGTGCGTGTGCTTGTGCGTGTGCTTTGGGGTGGCGTGGTGCGTGTGCGTGTGCGTGTGCGTGTGTGTTCGTGTGCTGTGCGTGTGCGTGTCTGCGTTGGCGTGTGTGCGTGTGCGTGGTGTGCGTGTGCCGTGTGTGCGTGTGGCGTGTGTGCGTGTAGCGTTGTTGGTCGTGTGCGTGGTGCGCGTGTGCGTGGTTGCGCGTGTGCGTGCGCGTGTGCGTGTGCGCGTGTGGTGTGTGTGGTGTGTGTGGTGTGTGTGGTGTGTGTGGTGTGGGTGGTGTGTGTGGTGTGTGTGGTGTGTGTGGTGTGTGTGGTGTGTGTGGTGTGTGTGGTGTGTGTGGTGTGTGTGGGGTGTGTGGTGTGTGTGGTGTGTGTGGTGTGTGTGGTGTGTGTGGTGTGTGTGGTGTGTGTGGTGTGTGTGGTGTGTGTGGTGTGTGTGGTGTGTGTGGTGTGTTTGGTGTGTGTGGTGTGTGTGGTGTGTGTGGTGTGTGTGGTGTGTGTGGTGTGTGTGGTGTGTGTGGTGTGTGTGGTGTGTGTGGTGTGTGTGGTGTGTGTGGTGTGTGTGGTGTGTGTGATGTGTGTGGTGTGTGTGGTGTGTGTGGTGTGTGTGGTGTGTGTGGTGTGTGTGGTGTGTGTGGTGTGTGTGGTGTGTGTGGTGTGTGTGGTGTGTGTGGTGTGTGCGTGGTGTGTGTGGTGTGTGTGTGGTGTGTGTGGTGTGTGTGGTGTGTGTGGTGTGTGTGGTGTGTGTGGTGTGTGTGGTGTGTGTGTGTGTGTGTGCGGTGTGTGTGTGTGTGTGTGTGTGTGTGTGTGTGTGTGTGTGTGTGTGTGTGTGTGTGTGTGTGTGTGTGTGTGTGTGTGTGTGTGTGTCGTGGTTTCTTTTAGCCTTGGGTGGCATTCTGGGCCCTAAGCTCTCATCCTAACACCACAACAAAAACACCGTGAAGATCATTCCAAAATCAACCTCAGACCTAGTCTCCCGATACGCCACACCCCCAGGGGCCTTGTACTCGGAGATCGCCGAAGCACCGATGTCGAAAGCAACGTCTACCTCTGCAAGGTCCCAGAGTTACCTAGGACTAAACTGGTGCCCCCTGTAAGTCCCTCAACCGTAAACCCTCAACCCTAAACCGCTTTTAAGGAAGAGGGAAGGAGGGCCCACTGCTGGGTGGAGATGACAGGCTTCGGTGAGTTTGGGGATCGAAATGAAGCCTGGTCCAGATTTTGGGTGTAGAGTCTAGGAGTCTAGGGCTGTTTTTGGGTTCCTGTCCTGTAACTTTCTGACTTCTAGGAAAAAGATGAGTAGCTGAGCAACCCTAAACCCAAAGCCATGCAATGTTCAGGATTTATAGGGATCTAAAGAAATAAACATATCAGCGACTGCATGCAGATTTGGTTTTTCTGCGGCCAACAAAGCCGTACTGAATCGCATTGGCAGAATTAAGGCAAAAGTTGGCAGCTGATAATAGAACACAGACATGATAGCATCAGGAGTGTGACTCACCCCATGCACATGCCTACGCGCCCTTGCGCTATCCAGTCTCAACGTACTAGCATCCCCCTGCGGCGCACAGCTGCCGTCCCCCCCATATGCGGTCAGAAACCAGGGTGGGCCAGGGAGGGAGAAAAGAGTTCTGCTGGCACGACTCCCTTGGCCTGAGCCAAGATCGTCGGTGCCTGATGTCGCGCCTGTTTATGTGTGCTGCACCATGCCTGCCCTAGCCTGACAGCACAAGCATAAACATATCAGCGACTGCATGCAGATTTGGTTTTTCTGCGGCCAACAAAGCCGTACTGAATCGCATTGGCAGAATTAAGGCAAAAGTTGGCAGCTGATAATAGAACACAGACATGATAGCATCAGGAGTGTGACTCACCCAACGCTGCTCCGATGTATTCACACTTTTCTGCCAACGATGCTCGACTGTCCACACGGTTCGGCTGGTGCCGCATGCTCCTCAGACGTGACTAACTTCAAACTGCTGACAACGTTTCCACATCACCCGCAAGGGTTGGAACCACAAGGATTGCGGGCACCACATCGGCCGAAGCTCGAAGCCATGAGCTGTGCTGAAAGGATCCTTGTCCAATTCTCTGCTGATTCCATCCGAATAATTGCTGTTACTGCCCACCCACTCGAGCCAGCATCGGACGTTGAGGAAATACAAGAGAAAATGAAACACCGCAACGATGCAATCCAGCTGCGGACCCCTAGCTGTGCCCTTGACAATGGAATAGAGTGCAGTCGTGTTGTCGCACAGCCATAAAACGTCTCTTCCTGCGAAGATATTCCGAAAATTCATGAGGGTAATTGGCAACATGCAGCACTCACACAAAGCTATGGGATTTGCTCCAGCCCGCAACGCTGCAGGAGAATACCCCCAAGCTTCCAGAAGTTGCTGCTGAAACTGCAAGTGCCCCCCCACTTTGTGACCTGTCACAGGGTCGTAAATCAGCACACCGCCCGAAGGGTTTGAATCAGCTTGCGCATCCGAGGCCACAACCAGGAAACCAAGCGCACTGGCTGTTACTTTGACTGTTCTAGGCACATGGAACTCCAAAAGCATCAGGAGCAAATTATACGCCCTGCACAGCTCCCGCGAATTGTCCCACGGATGCTTGTCACTGTACTGCCTGCGGCGCAAGGGGCCAAATGGAGCACGACCAACACGCCCCCACTGCGCGAGGGCAATGAAGCCGCAAACGCCTCGAATCTTGGAGGCCTGCGCAGGGGTCGTGCGGCCTGCAGCCATCCTTGCGCGAATCAACCCAACAGCTTTGTCCACAAGGCTCTGCTTGGCATGAAAGGAGACAGTCCATGAACTGAAGGCAGCGCTGGTGTCATGAGAAATACCCAAAAAATCGTTTTGCAGCGCGAGGTCTTGAGCCTTGGCTTCTTTAAAGGACTGGCCGCACTCAGTGGCCAACTCTTTCCACAGAGCTTGCCCATGCCCTCCTGCACACTCCAAATCATCTAAATGGCTGTCGTCCACGTAGAGGCTCACCATGAGATGCAGGACTCGCCTCCCAGCCGCCTCCAAGAAAAAGGAAAATCTCTCAAACTGAAAAACGCTGGCGGCAAATCCAAACAACAAGGCCCAACATGGAAAGACATGAACCTCTTTTGTTTGGGGATGTTGCACAGCCACGTTGTTGTGTCTGAGATGCCGAGGATGAACTGGCAAAATGCGGTACGCCTCCGGCAGATCTTCTGCAGCTGTGAAAAGGCGGGTGCTCTGCAACATGGTCACTGCTCCTTCACGCGCTGCCCACGCTCCAAGCGCTCGAGCAGCCACGGCAGGCATCATGGCAGAGACCATACTGAAACGTTCCGAAAAAAGCCGTGGCAAGATTTTGCATGCCAGCTTTAGCATCATCGATGCGTCTGCGCTTCCCGTCCGGCTGAGTATGCACAAAGGCAGGCACTACAGACCAAGAGTCTTTGCCATATTCCACATCCAGCGACTCCACGGTTACAGGCGCGCCCGCTTTGCCATTGGCCACTTCCTTCTGGCAACTGGCCCAAAGGAATTGCAGCTCATCCTGGTCAAAATGTCTCCGGCCGTACTGCTGCAACACGGCTGGGCCTGTGCCACACAAGGTGGCCTCATCGATGTCGGGAACCTCATCAACTGCTGTCCAGATGCTGACCGTCTCAAGCTGACCAATCAACGCAAAGCCTTGCAAAAATCCCAGAGGCAGAGTCCTGTCCGGCCACTTCATGAGGATTATCAAGGCAGCAATAAGCCCAACATGGATGTGCCCTGCCACACTGTTGATTGACGGATGCAAAAATTTTCGCAAATGGCGGGATAGGGGCTGGCAGCGGCGCGACAATTCCTGCAGCAGGTCGCGGCCTAACTTGCGGTGGTCTCGCAAAACCGGCAAGCAATGAATGGCACACCACGCCGCAAAAGAAAAATCTGCAGAGCATGCCAAATCATCAAACGGCAACCTCTCCTCATGGGATGCTTTACAGCATGCTCGGAATAGGGCTTCCTTGCTTTGGTGAGGAAGAACTTTGCTGGGCAACGCACCTTTTTGGGCCAGGACTGTTGTCTGCAATCCCAAGCTTGGCTGAACCTTGGCAGTTGCTGTTAGGTGACTTGTGTTGACATCCACTCGATGATCGGCAGTCCATTGGTGAAACAACGTGAAAAACGGATGGTTGAACAAATCTTGCAGCATGGGCAATGCAAAGCCATGCAGCGCTTCTCTCGGAAACATGAAGCGGAAACCACTGACAATGGCTTCCTGGCAAAACTCCAGCTGGACTGCTGGTGGCAACGCGGCGGCACAACTGCCAGACTGCAGACTGGCCCCAAGCGAAGTCTCTGGCCCGCCCTCGCCTGGGCACCATCAGGCCTTGCGGGCCCTTTCCGCCTGCTTGCAGTTGATGCCACGGTGGTTGCTCATGCCACAGACTCGCGCTTGCCGGGAACCTACCTGCACATTGCACACGTGCAGCTGCTTCTTGGGGCAAGGGCCCGACTTGACACACTGGCCACGGTTCCAATCCTGGCAGATGGCTTTGCCATCCTTCAGCGCAGTAGCATAGTAAACAGTCTTGGACTTCCTGGTGCTTTCAAGCTCCGCAGCAGGCGGAGGTGGCACGTCAGCTGAGCTTGGCAAACTCCACACTGCTTGCCTCTCAGTGTAGACTTCTCGAATGACGGCGCCGATCGTGCGCTTGCTGCCCCGAAACCGCTCACACCAGAGAGCCCTGTCCTCCTCTTCTTTGGTCACGATTTCTGGCAAGCGGCTCACGGGCATTGACATGACATACTTCTGCACCCTATGAAAATGCGCCATGCAAACATCCAGCGGGCAAAAAACATAGCTGCATGGGTCAGAATGCACATCTTCAGGAGAAGTCGGGACATCAGGCGGCGCAAACGTGCCTGCTTTAGCGAAAGCCACCATCAGCATCTCCAGCTGGATCAAAAAATTGGCTACATTTTCTTCGACATGGTCCTCTACCGTTTCAGCATGGACAATGTGCACACCCTCCGTGACCTTGGTGCGCTTCTTTTCACCGCTGAGCTGTGCTGCCAACGATTTGACTTTGAGGACTTTGTGAATGGTGAGGAGTCTGCTTTTGAAAAGGCGATTGAGATTTGACACCAGCAAATCTGACGGCGTGCGAGCTGCCGGATACCTCATCCGATAGCGCCCCCAAAAGGCAACGTGAAGAGACTCAAGCTCTTCTGTGCCCAACAAAGCTTCCAGCTCAGGGGTTTCGAGACCTTTGCGCTTCTGGTCAGCTGCTTTCTGGACAGCTTCGACTACTGCCGCCCAGGCTTTGCGAACTCTAGCCGTTTGCACGCCCTTGTTCGACAAATCCTGCACTTTGTCAATCACATGGACCCTAACCTCATCGTCATTCGTGACGAACTTGGCAAAGTCTTCAAGGCTACGGCATCCCTCATTGACTAAGAAGGCGCCGACTTTTTCATTGACATTGAACTTGAGGCACAGCTCCTTGAAGAGCTCGGAAGGGTCATCCGCAGGCTGTGCTGGGGGTTGCAGGTCTGCCACTGTCAGAGCCATGCTACTGGCTGAGAGCGAGCGCTGCTCAAAGAACAAGGCCACTACGAAGCTACAAGAAAAAAAGGAGTCCTGACTGCGGCAACTTCAAGGCTAAAAACACCGCTGGCGCTCTTTGCGCGACGCAGACATGGATGGGTAACAAGCACGCGCTTCAGTACGCTTCTTGATTTCTTGCGCTGAAACCACCTGGCTCTTTAGATGCTCTGGCAACAAGAAAACGCAAGCTGTACAAAAAGGACGATCTGCACTGACCGCCTCAGACAAGGAGTCAAACCTCAAAGCTTTTCCTTTGAAGACGCCGTTCTTCAGCTTCTGACGCCATGAGCATACAGGGCCCACAGCATCCGCGCGGCACAGATGCATGAGAGCGCCGCGTCGGCCCGCTGACACCCAACTCTGAGGATCAAAGACACGCTTCCCACATGGTCGCGATGGCTGCAAAGAAGGCTGGCGAGGCACATACCTTCGATTTTCCATGTGTTTCAGGTGACCTGGGGCCCGTGCTGCAAACTCCGCCTTCGCAGAGAAGTCCGCGTAGGTTGCTGCCTCCTCTTGCCAGGACTGCACCGTGGCCGCTGGCTGACGTGTCCACCAAGCCCGAAAATCCTGCCAGGACGACACGTTCGCCTCCAAAGAAGCAGCGAACGTCAAAGCGTGAAGCGCCTTGCTCTGCACTTCGTTCCCCTCGCGCTGGCCACTATAGCGGAAAGGCATGGAATTTCTGGTTGCCCTGCGATCGCGAATTGCCGCCTCGTCCATCTGCCACCCTCCCACATCAAAGCGCTCAGGCCATGGGGCACCGCGGCAATCTAGCGCTGTGGGAGCGCAGCGTCGGAAGGAGTACGAAGACACGGGCGGCGAATCCGCGCACAAGACATCTGCCAGCTGTCGCTGCGCCATGTCATTGAACTGAGACAGGGACACAGCGCGACCATCAATGTGGCAAATGAAAACAGGCGGGCTTGCCTGGTAGCAAGGCAAAGCTTGCGTGCTGTGCCATCCATCCCAGATGCAGCGCAATGACTCTTCCAGCACCGGCAATCTCGGCACGAACCAACTGAATCCTTTCCTGATGCCATTGATTCTGCCTTTACCACGAAAAACCCAGAAACAGACCCACTTTGGAGCCCTACTGACCGGCACCATGCGCAAAGCATGTCGATATCGCAGCGGCATGAACGCCAAGACCACCATCACAGACAAGACGCACGCTGATGCCAGTTGCTGAGTTCTGGCCTCTTGCGCACGGCTGCAGAGGAAACCCACCATAAAAGGCTCCAGCGGCACAGCCTGCCCTCGCTCCCCAGAATCGCGCAGCTCCGCCTGGTGCACAGTGCGGGGCACAGGAACTGCTTCCATATCAAGAGGCGCTTGCAAGTGTCGGGCAAGCCAGGCCAAGCGATCGTAGCATGCCTTCGGCACAGATGTCCCTTTTCCTTCGGAGGAGATGTTGATGTAATCTTCTACAAGAACTGCCGGGACGCCAGCCCCGAACTGAAGAGCTGCGCTGGGCGGATTTTGACTGCGGACATGGCTCCACAATCGTTGCCACTCAGCTAGCGCAGCTTTCACCGTACGCGGCTCAAATCCCAATAGACGCGCAGACAATGACTTGACACGTCGCTGCAACATGGCTTCATCGACCACTCCAGCTTTGACACCAAATGCTGGCGCCCAGGACATTGACAACTGAATGGCTCGGTTTACTTGCAACTGGCGCTGAATGAAATCAACCTTTACAGTGAGTGGTTTGAGCATACCTTGCGTCGCTTTAGCACGCACATGAGGCTTGCGCATCCGTGGGCCGCACGCTATGTGACCGACTTGCAGCAAGTCTTTTGCAATGACATAACCATCTGATCTGCACTCTCTTGCCTGTACCCAAGCAGCCTTGAGCGGCTCTGATGTCGGCACATGCGTGTCAGTAAAGAAGAAGGCTAAATCATCCACCGTTTCCAGGCCTTCATGCGAAGCCCAATCCAGCAAATCCGAATAGCCATGCTTCGTCAGCCACTCCTTGATGGCATCCATGGCTGAAGGCTCATGGCCTTTCTCTTTTCTAAGAAAAGAGTTCTGCTGGCACGACTCCCTTGGCCTGAGCCAAGATCGTCGGTGCCTGATGTCGCGCCTGTTTATGTGTGCTGCACCATGCCTGCCCTAGCCTGACAGCACAAGCACTCAAAGCCCACAAACACCATGAGAACACGGCATTCAACCCTAGGACGTAAGACCTCAGCAGCCCCCCTAGACCCCTTAGACCCTAGGCCCTTAAACCCCCAAGCTCGTGAGCCCCTGAACCCTTGAACCGAACCCGGCTCTACTTCCAGGATCATGGGTACTCAGAACCCCAATTGTAACTGTACTTCTAAGCCCCCCTAAGTCCTCTAGGTGGGTTAGAAGTAGGCTTATAATTAGAGTCATAAGCATCCATGGACCTCCAAGTAAGGCTTCAGGAGGTAAACCCTAAACCCTAAACCCTAAACCCTAAACCCTAAACCCTAAACCCTAAACCCTAAACCCTAAACCCTAAACCCTAAACCCTAAACCCTAAACCCTAAACAAGACCGGGCTGCCTTAAAGTAGAGCATCGCCGCGGCCACGGACCCGTCCAACTGGGCGTTTCACAGGATCGAGGGCTTGCATCTTCAGGGTTTAGGGTTTAGGGTTTAGGGTTTAGGGTTTAGGGTTTAGGGTTTAGGGTTTAGGGTTTAGGGTTTAGGGTTTAGGGTTTAGGGTTTAGGGTGTATGGTTTAGGGTTTAGGGTTTAGGGTTTAGGGTTTAGGGTTTAGGGTTTAGGGTTTAGGGTTTAGGGTTTAGGGTTTAGGGTTTAGGGTTTAGGGTTTAGGGTTTAGGGTTTAGGGTTTAGGGTTTAGGGTTTAGGGTTTAGGGCTTAAACCTAGGAATAAGAAGGGCCACCTTTTCGGGTTTAAAAGGGCTTGTAAGGGAACCTAAACCCCAAAAAATGGGCCTGACTCCTAGCCTCGTAGACTTCAGGTGCAGTACATGTGGTAGAGGGCTTGAAAGCTCAAAAGCTCCAACCACCCTAAACCCTAAACCCTAAACGACTAAACCCTAAACCCTGAACCCTAAACCCTAAGCCTCTACAGCTTTAGGAAAAGCGTCGTTGGGTTTAGCTGGAGATCAAAAGGTGGAGTCCGGAGATACAAGATCTCCGACCGACTCATTTCAAACATGCTCCAACCATTTTATGGTGAGGGTACGGGATTGGGGTTTAGGGTTTGGGGTTTAGGCTTTAGGATTTACAGCTTAGGGTTTAGGGTTTAGGGTTTAATTCGGGTTTAGGGTGCACCCGTTTGGCGGTCGGTTACATTTGTAAGGGAGCCGTAGAACCCAAGAGAGGCCAAAGGGCACACTGGCTACCAAAGCCTCGACCAGAGTTCCAGAGCGAACCGCGAATTAGGCATTACGTTTTTAGGGTTTAGAGCTTAAAGGGTTTTTGGACTTATGGTTTTGGGGTTTTGGGGCTTGCAGTTTAGCGCTTGTCGGTCTCTTTTATGGGGGTTGAAGGTCAGAGGGTTGCCCTCGCCAGGAACAAGTACAGCCACCCAACTGCCCCAACTTTTCAAAGTTCTATACTGCAGGCTTGGTGTTCAGCCAACACCAAACTTCAGAAATTGAACCCGAAGCCCTGAACGCTGAACCCTGAGGCCTACAACCTAAACCATGAGCCCCAACTCAAACCATCAAGCTCCGAACCCATTTCTGGTCAAGGTTGGCCCGCCAAGGCCCTCTGAAAGCATTTCGGAACGAGACCCTCTTAGCCCCAAATAGGGTTTAGGGTTTAGGGTTTCGGGCTTCGGGTTTAGGGCTTAGGGATTAGGGTTTAGGGTTTAGGGTTTCGGGTTTAAGGTTTAGGGTTCAGGGTTTGGGGTGTGGGGTCTTGGGGCCGGGGCCATCCAAAGCTGCTCTTGCATGGGCAGGTTCCCATTCGAGAAGTACACCACCTTGTGAAGTGAGACAGGCGTCTCTCGGGTCGTTCAAGGGCTTGGGATAATGTGACCTTCTTAAGTGCAGGGTTTAGGGTTTAGGGTTTAGGTTTTAGGGATCAGGGTATTTGAGGTTGAGAGCGCGGAGAGTTCTACTGGGACGCTAGGTCTGGAGACTAAGCCTCCAGACTTCGTGGCGAAGCGAGCTAAGCCCTAAGCCCTAAATCCTAAACCCCAAACCCTAAACCCTAGACCCTAAACCCTAAACCCTAAACCCTACAGCCCAGGCAGCCCTGAGCCCTCGAAGAAGATAAAGCCCCCCCCGACAAGGTGCCTCACCTCGCAGTGGGAGGTTTCATAAACGAATGCAAAGTAGCCATCATGTTAGTACCTTTAGGGTTTAAGGTTTAGGGTTTAGGGTTTAGGGTTTAGGGTTTAGGATTTAGGGTTTAGGGTTTAGGGTTTAGGGTTTGGGTTCAGGGTGTAGGGTTTAGGGTTGTTAGTACCTAAACAAGGTGTTGCAAAGTTTGGGTTTGAGTGTGTTCGCCAGCTTGGGTTTTAGAGACTGTCAGGTTTGAAGCTTTAGGCATTTTCAAGTCACCGGGTTCAAGGTATAGGGTGAGCTCTGCAGTCTGAGGCTCAGGGCATAGGCCTTGGTTGTATGGCCCGGAACCTTTTGCTTTGTTAACCATACATACCTAAGCTGGGCATCCGTGAGCCCTGGCGCGGGATGACATTGCTGCGATTGTGCAGGAAACTTCAGACCCCAATTCTCAACACAAGAAACTTCTGACCTCCAACCCCCTAAACCTGAAAATGCCCCAAATGCCCCCACATAAGCTTAGACATGTCCTAGTTAGCCCTGGGCCTGCACCTGTAAACCCACCCCCCCTTGGACCCGCAATGCGAGCGCCAGCCTCTGAGGTGAAATCGCGTGAGGGAAAACGCCTAGCCAAGTGCGGGTTTACGGTATCAGGGGTACCTTGTTGGGGTCCTCATTAGTTTAGGGTTTAGGGTTTAGGGTCTAGGGTCTAGGGTTTGCGGGTACCTTTTTGGGGTCCTTCTTCCAAAAAGGTCCTGCTCTTCCGTAAACCCCCAAGTCTCTTTCGAAGCTTCAAGACTGAGGGAGAGCTTTGGGGCGTCTGAGTTGCGGTTTCACTAGGATGGCCCTCAAAACCCTCTGAAAAACAGTCCTGCATATCCCAACAAGGGAAATATCTAATGTCCCAAGGGCCGCCCGAGTTTAGGGTCGCATGGCTCATGTCAAACCCAGGTGGCTGAAAATTGTAGGGAGCGGGGTGTGGAACCCTAAACCCGAAACCCTAAACCCTAAACCCTAAACCCTAAACCGGGGCGCAGGGTGCTCAAAAGCTGCGGGTTGAAGACATGATCAAAGGCGAAGGGGTCGATGAGTGGTTTACGCCAACGCGTTGCACGCGCGAGCCTTCATTTCGCATGTAACACGGCCGCGAAAAGGGAACTCTGACAAGACATGCCTTTAGTAACACTCATATGCTTCTACTTTGCTTCTGAGTGGTCAAAGTGCCGAGAATGTGGATCAACCCGTGCATGTCTTCCGACACTTTTCAAGAGCTCAAAAGGGTCTGGCAAACATCTGATGCGGCAAAAAGGCGACGCGCTTCCCCACTTCTTAGTTCTGTGTCCCGAACGGATGATGATCTAGGCACCTGCAAGGGGCAAACATATCTCCACCTACCTTCCTTAGTGAGTGCCGTCGAGAGCTTACAGTGGTGGGCACCTGTGCCAACAGCTTTTGCCCAGGATTATGCTTGGTTCCATGTTCAAATTGCCGCGAGGCAGAAATGGTCCACAAAGTCATCCTCAAACCCTGAACCCGGACGCAACCCCCAACCCCAGAATCCCAATGTTCTTCAACGTATATAGGCTTTTCAATGTTTCGCCCTGAAGAGAGAGAGAGAGAGAGAGAGAGAGAGAGTGACATGATTTGGTAACGCAACAGAAGGAATTCTGGCGTCTGTAGCGCAGGCCTCTGTACGTGCATGTATACGCATCCATGCAGATGCGTGCATACATGAGATTCTTTGTGCAATGCTCCTTGGATGGGATAAGGCCCCTTCAACGGGGGTTCCTTACCAAAAACGGAATCTATCTTCTGGTGGCTCTGCGCCACAGGCATTTTGAACTATTACCATCTATATACATAACCAGCAGAGCACTAGGACTAGGGCTGGGGGCTCAGCGCTATGGGTTGAAGAGTCCAAGGTGGGCTTAGGGTTTGGGTTTTTGGGCTTAGGGTTTGGGGTTCAGGGTCCAAATGTTTGGGGCTGAGGGTTTAGGGTGTAGAGTCTTAGGGTGTCAGGGCTTAGGCGCCCATCATGTTGGAGGTCTATTTGTACAAGCGACGCCACCTGACAACAAAAAGTGACCTGCCAGACTCTAGGAGGATCTGGCAAGCAGGGTCCCCAATTGGGTTTTTTTCGGGTTTAGGGGTTGGAGCCCAGGGTCAACCCCAAACAACTTAAGAGATCTCCAGCAAAAATCGAGTATGCCCCCGGAGGAAGCTTCCAGCACGGTGACGCGGGCATGGTTGAGTGAGGGTTCAAAGGGTCGGGTGTACAGTTCAGGGTTTAGGGTTTAGGGTTTAGGGTTTAGGGTTTAGGGCTTAGGGCTTAGGGCTTAGGGCTTAGGGCTTAGGGTTTAGGGTTTAGGGTTTAGGGTTGAGGGTTTAGGGTTTAGGGTTTAGGGTTTAGGGTTTAGGGTTTAGGGTTTAGGGTTTAGGGTTTAGGGTTTAGGGTTTAGGGTTTAGGGTTTAGGGTTTAGGGTTTAGGGTACAGGGTTCAGGCATTACTAAACCCTAAACCCTGAGGATCTCGAGGGTTGAGGAGTTCAGGGAGTCGAGGGAGTTTGCGAAGCCGGGGGTTTGTGAAGCTTTTGAGGGTTCAAACCAAAAACCCTAAACCCTAAACCCTAACCCTAAACCCTCCACCCTAAACCTCCAGGAAGCCTCAAGCCCGTCTCTTGGGTAGAGTGCAATTCTGGAGGGGTTCGGATTCATCCTACTTGGAGATTCGCGGGTAGTTAGGGTTTAGGGTTTAGGGCTTA